CGAACTGCGAGATCATGACCTGAGCCACAGTTGGATGCTTAACCGACCAAGCCACCCAGGCACCCCTAAAGCCTTGATCTTTTATCACTATGAAAGTATATTTTATCTGATGACTAATGTTTGCATGATGTATATTTTTTCATCCTTTTACTTTCAAATTATCTTTGTGTTTAAAATACATTTCTTAGAGAGAGCATATAGTCATAGAATAGGGTCTTGTGTTTTTTTTTTTTAATCCAATATGACAATTACTGTCTTTGTAGTATTTAGTGTATACTTACATTTAAGTATACATTTAAGCATACATTTAACTTACATTTAAGTTATGAGTAAAGTCTGCCATTTTGCTATTTGTTTTCTTTTCTTTTTTTTTTTTTTTTAATTTTTTTTTTTCAACATTTATTTATTTTTGGGACAGAGAGAGACAGAGCATGAACGGCGGAGGGGCAGAGAGAGAGGGAGACACAGAATCGGAAGCAGGCTCCAGGCTCTCAGCCATCAGCCCAGAGCCTGACGCGGGGCTCGAACTCATGGACCGCGAGATCGTGACCTGGCTGAAGCCGGACGCTTAACCGACTGCGCCACCCAGGCGCCCTGCTATTTGTTTTCAATTAGTCTCATTTGTTTTTTTTGTGTGTGTGTCTCAGTTCCCCTCTTGACTTCTTTTGGGCTAACATTTCTTATTCCATTTTGACTCCTTTGTTCACTTTTTGACTATACCTCTCTGCAGTATTTTTTAGCGGTTTCTCCAGGAATTATGAAATACCTCTTTAACTTATCAGTCTATTTAGAGTTAATATTGTACTATTTTCACTACAATTGTATAGTTCCATTCACCAACCCATCTTTTGTGCTTTTACTATGTTACAAATCTCACAATATAACACTATACTTGTTTTAAACAAGCACCTCTTAGAAATTTTTAAGTTTAGCTTATTTTGAAAGAGAGAGAGAATGCAAGTGAGGCAGGGGCAGAGAGAGAAGGAGAGAATCCCAAGCAGGCTCACACCATCAGCACAGAGCCCCAAGCAGGGCTCGAACTCATGAACTGCGAGATCATGACCCGAGCCAAAACCAAGAATTGGATGCTTACCCGACTGAGCCCCCCGGGCGCTCCTAAACAAATACATCTTTTAGAGAAGATAATAAAATATAATTTTACAAACTTATCTATACACTTACCATTACTGTAATCGTTTCCTGTCTATAGATCTGATGCACAAAATTTGTATTTCCTATCTAGATATCTCTTCTAAGCTCCACATTAAAATATCCCATTATTTCACATCTTTACCGAGATGTTATCTCCAAGTTAAAATGTTCAAAACCAGGGGTGCCTGAGTGGCTCAGTTGGTTAAGCGTCCAACTCTTGATTTCGGCTCAAGCCATGATCTCATGGTTCATGGAATCGAGCACCGCACTGGGCTCTGTCTACACTGTCAGTGCAGATTGGGATTCTGCTTGGGATTCTCCTCTCTGTCCCTCCCCGGCTCACGTGCTCACGCTGTCTCTCTCTTTCAAAATAAATAAACATTAAAAAAATAATAAAATGTTCAAAAATGTTCAAAACCAAACTATTCACCCCAAAGAATCTTTTCTCATTAACCTATTATGGAAATTCATATTTTCTTATACCAGAACCCAGAAACTCCAAGGCAACGATTCCTCATATTATTATTCTTACTTATTTGCTACCCTTTTTCTTTTAAAAAGTTGTTGTTAAAAATGGAAAACTTTCTGTTCCATCCATTTTTGTTCCTTCCTTATACCTTAACTTGAACATGAGTAATTTGCCCACTGAGTGATCTATATGAGCAGCACAATAAAGACCGTATGTATTATTTCACACGACTTTATTTCTAGCCACAATTCTAAATCACTCTTATACTATGTTCAATAAATTATCCCTAACTGATACCAAGAGAGTCATTTGCGGTGTCAGCGCAAATCCCACAAGCTTCGTGACATACGTGGGTGGGGGCGCCCGGGTGGCTCAGTCGGTTAAGGCTCAGGTCCAACTTCGGCTCAGGTCATGATCTCGCGGTTCGTGGGTTCAAGCCCCATGTTGGGCTCTGTGCTGACAGCTCACAGCCTGGAGCCTGCTTTCCGATTCTGTGTCTCCCCCTCTCTCTGTCGCTCCCATGCTCTGTCTCTCTGTCTCTTGATAATAAATAAAAAAACATTTAAAAGAATTAAAAAAAAATAAAAAAAGCTTCATGACACACGAGTCTGATTGCAGCCGGGGAGCTTTATCTCCACAGTCAAGGATGGTTTTGTTGATTGTACTCTTTGTTTATGCTGACAACTTCTGTTTGTTGAAATTTCCAGGAAGCAGATGTTACTTTGTATTTATTTTGATGCCACAGGAATTTCACTGAACTGATTCCTATGATGACTGAAAAATTCATGTAGTATATAACACATGAAGCAAAACATGAACGATCCCTTCACGGCCACCCTACTTACTCCTGCCCCTTTTCCAACCGTCTTGGTGCTTCCTTCCAATCTCCTTCAATGTTTTTATGTATGTTTTTCTCCTCAAGTTTAAAAGTAATATGTGCCCATCACAGAGAACTAAAAAGTAATTCGGTAACAGAACAAACTCGCTTATAATCACAAAATCAGAGCCCAGTACCCAGGCACACACACTTTGTCTATGACTGGGGGTCATACACATGGTTTTGCGTCTTACATTTTCATGTATTGTGAATAATGTCCTGTGTCAGAGTCTGAAAGCACTGGTAGTTTTATCAATATGACTTAACACCTCCAACTCAGATCATAAGGAAAGGCAGTTTAGTCTTTGCTAGGAGAAAATATGTTTCATCTTAGAAGCAGGAAAGAACATCAGGCCTCTGTAAATATTTCAATTAGAAGGGCCCCTTTTCTCTTAATAATCAGTGTAAAATACAGCACTAAGCAACAAAGCACAGAATATATAACTGAATGCTTCTAAGACTAATCATTATTTGATCTATATACTACTAGAGTATTAGCAAGAAAGCATGTTTTCCATTTAATTGCTTAACAATGTATCTATATAGTTACATAAAATGCTGATTGACATCCATTGATCTGCAGCTATAATCTAAATATAAACACATCTGTAGAACCCTAACCTTGTACTGCCTTTTCTCTCACTCACAAACCAATGAATAAGTACTGAATGGATACTTCTCAAAGGTGCTTTGGGGCGCCCGGGTGGCTCAGTCCATTGAGTGTCTGACTTTGGCTCAGGTCATGATCTCATGGTTCGGGGTTCGAGTCCCGTGTAGGGCTCTGCACTGACAGGTCTGAGCCTGCTTTGGATTCTGTCTCCCTCTCTCTCTCTCTCTCTCTTTCTCTGCCCCCCTCCAAAATAAATAAATAAACATTTAAAAAAAAAAGGTGGTTTAACAATTCCACCTATAAAATATGTCTCCAATTCTACATAAAACTAAACAAAGGTATTTTAAAAATGTTATTCCACTCGGTGTTTCAAAACAAGAAATGTAATTTCACCCACTTCAAAGGCATGTTAAAGAAAACACACATATGTGGACCCTCTGGCTCACAGGAGGCCAAGGAGCAATTCTCTTCAGTCTTCCTGAATCTGGGTTCATCCAACACCAGCCACCTCCTCCATGCTGCGTAAGTTCAACCCCAAGGAGATCAAAGTCGTGCCACCTCTGCCCTGGCTCCTCACATCGGCCTCCTGGGTCAGTCTCCAAAAAGGTTGGTGATTACATCACCAAGGCAACGAGTGTCAGGAAGGGTCTGAGGATAACAGTAAAACTGACCATTCATCGGTATGACAGGTCCAGACTGAACTGGTACCTTCTGCCTCTGCCCTGATTATCAGAGCCCTCAAGGAACCGCCAAGAGAGAGAAGCAGAAAAACACTAAGCGCAGTGGAAATACCACTTTTGATGAGACTCAACACTGCCTGACAGATGTGGCACTGACCTTCAGCCAGAGAACTCTCTGGAGCCTGACACAGATCCTGGGGACTGCCCAGTATGTGGGCTGCAATGTTGATGGCCACCACCCTCGTGACATCATTGACGACATCAATGGAGGTGCAGCCGAATGCAACTACAAAGGAAAAGTATTTCAATAAAGGATCATTTAACAACCGAAACAAACAAACAAACAAAAAACAAAACAAGCCCCAGGCCACCAAAAACCCCTCACACATATGGAAGGAAGTATGATTTGGAGTGTTTCCTAAAAGCAAACAGACTGGCAGCGGACCTTTCCTTTCATACGTTCTTCTGTCACTGTTCCAGTAAAGAGTCACAAATGTGATACACAGGGATGGACCAACCACATCGGTTCCAGAAGACAGTCCTCTTTTGTAAACCCCATCACAGGACCTTAGGTTTTGAATTTAACCAAGAAAAAAAAAGTATGAAAAACCACATTATTTTACTATTTGTAACGCACATCTTCACTTTAAAGTGTCTGGAAAGACCAGATGTTAAAATACGGACCCACAGTGTTCACTCTGCACACAGCCGTTTGGAATAAAGGGCACAAGGGGAGGGCCGGCTACAATCTGAAAGTGTCGCCTAAATAGGAACATTCTGGCAAATTCTTTCCTTACTTCTTTGTCTTCACAGCCTATCTCAAGGACAAAATACAGGCGATGTTGTACTTCAGGGGTAGATGAAGAATTTCACTTCTAAAAGTAATGTTTAAAAGTCTTTCTTACAAACTTAACCAAGAAAGTATACGAAAGTATTTATTAGCTCCCTATTTGTTATATGAAATTAGAGCACGCCCTTTTCTGTTATATACACCACATATAAGCGACACTACAGTAAACGTGCATAATTCCCTTCTCACTCTCCTCCACCCACTTGGTGAATGTATAAATTATTTCTCAGAGTGATCTACTGTTTCTATTAGAAAGACAATCTAAGACTATTGAAATATTCACCCTATTGTTGTATATCATATGTATATTCACCCTATTGTTGTATATCATATGTAACATATGACAAGCACACCTAAGCACGTAGAAAAGCTACATATTTTAAATAAGGACTTAAGTTTAATCACTATATACACTACGTGCAGGACGCTGGAAAACCATGCACATATGGACAACAGTTCCAACACATTCTGGGGAAACCCTTCCCCATCCCTCACTGTCTTCTCTCCTTCTCTCGAACTCTGGAAACAAGCGTGGACCTGAATCCAAGAAGCGATGCGGAGATTGCATTTCCGCAAGTCGTTTCCGGATGATGTGTCTCTTGAGTGAATTTTAACAGAAAGACGATCGCAAAACAGGTCGTTTTTCTAACTGGACTTTCAGCATACGTCGACAGCTTCTCTGCATCGAGAAAGGCTACAGATTGCAAACAGGGGCTTGAGGTTTATTGTAAAAGGCTGAGCAAAGTGTCACCGCAGCTTGTCCACCCTGTATGCACAGGTTTGTCGTTGGCAAACCTCAACAGGCGGTCGTCCCTTCCGGGCAGCCACGAGGTACTGTTCATGCCTGGCACCGAGAACGCCCGGGGGCCCGCTGACGTCCTGGGCCCGCTCTGCCTGCTGGCACCCCGGCAGATTCGGGCCTGGGAGCTTCCCCTGCCATTCCAGTGTGTGGGTCCTGGGGTCCCCGTATGTCTCCGGCGGCAGCCTGAGGGCAGGAGCAGCTGCGACCCCACCCGAGTCAGCCCCGGACTCCCCCTGGTCCCAGCACTCACCCATCCTCTGGAGCAGGTGCTCCACAAATAGGCGGAGTTTGAACCCACAGGTACACAACAGGTACTTTGAAGCCTCTAGGTGGGATCTCACCATGTGGGCAGAGCGCTGCTATTTGATTATTTCACGTAATGTCTTCAAGATCGTTCCAGTGGAGACACTTTAGTTTTGATGAAAATAGCTACACGTGGCCTCTTCTTCAAATGCCTTCATCGTGGTCTCTGGAAAAGAGTGACATAATTTAGCAGATTTCCTATAAATGAACACTGGTATTCCTTTCGTACTGCTTTTACCAAAGACTCTCAAACAACTTGCCTTATGTGCGTATCTCTAAGTATGAAGATTATGCACAGCGAAACTTGGGACATGTATTGCCAAATTACTTTTTTAGTAAAGTGAAGCCATTTTACGTTCCCGCCAAAATGCTTCTTTGGCAACACTGGCTATTATCTACCATCGGCAAAAATGCTCTTATTGGTGTTTTCACTTGCATTTCTTTAATTAATGAAGCCAAGTATCTTTTATCCGCTATTATTGATCCGTATTTCTTTCGTGAATTTCTTCTTATTGTTCTATCTCCATTTTTTCCTAGTAGTGCTAATTTTCTTAATTTTGCAGGTATTCAAATCTGTCTTGCTTTACGGTCACCAGCGTTGTGCCCACTTAGAAATCCCTTTCCTAGCCCATTATTAAATCCATTACCCATGGGTTTTGGGATTTTTTTTTTTTTTTTTTTTTTGCAGTATTTGCTTTCACTATCTAACATATCATGAGCAACTGAAATTTGTTCTGATGTAGGATGTGAAGGACTTTTTTCCCAAATGGCTAGCATATTGGCCCAGCATCATATATCAAATAACTGATTTCTCCCTCACTGATCTATAGAATATCTAACCCATCATTTTTCTTTTTTAAAAGTAACATGCACATAATATAAAAATACATTAGTGAGAGGGCACACAGTGAAATGTATGTAACCTATTCCACCCCCCACCCCACCCGTTTCCTCTCTGGAGACACTAATAGTTCATTGTGTATCCTTTCAGATAGTCTCTTGCATTAGGCCACCGTAAATGGCAGTGGGACATGCGGTTTCCAGTCTTTTGTTGCTTTAAACAGCTCTGCAACTAACATCCTCATGTACCGCTTATAATGCGTAAGTAAATCTGTAATACTCCCCAAAGTAGAACTGCTAGGTCAGAGAATATGGACATTTGAAAGCATGATTTTTCCAAACTGCTCTCCAATGATGCTGCCCCATAAATTTATACTTCCACTAAAATGTGTGAAAGACCGACTAGTATTTTTGAAGTTTGGGATAATTTTATAGGCTCTGATGCTCACTTGTGAGAGCTTGGGACACGACAGATTAATGAACATGAAATTCTTTCCTCCTATTGTTTTCTGAACTTCCGTGTTCATTTTGTGGGTAGTTAGTAAAAAAAAAAAAAAAAAAAAAAAAAGTCCTCAAGAATTTGTAATCCAGTGAGTTGACTTCAAAGTACATGTGACTAATCTATGGCTAAATTAAATTAGTAATAGCACAGCGATGCTAACTTGGCCTGGAGGCCACGGGGAAGTATGATGTAAGTATGATTTCTACTGTATTGGGAATCCTGGATGAAGAGAATTACCTTGTATGGAGAATGGGCTGACAGGTGGTGACAATTCTTGCCGGAAGAACAGCAGGAGGGGAGTTAAGGAACCTTAAATCCTCTTTATCAAATGGAAGGCACGGATATGCAGGGGTTCAAGAAAATGAGGCTAACTTCACAGAGCTGTTAAAACATTCATGAAAACCTGTTACACGCAAAGGACTAAATGTTAGCCTTCATCCCTCCAGATTCTGGAGTACCTGAGTATAAAACAGGTAAAAGAGGCCAACATCTTTTCCAGAATGGTTCCGAAAAGCTAACTTACGAGAAGTGAGAAAAGTAAGGCCGACGTGATGTCACTACTGCTCTTGGTGTCAAAATGGCCTCTTGACCACTTAGTAGTCTGTCCTCCTTCCTACCTCAAACACGGTGCTCTAAATTACCCCCCCCCCCCCCCGCCGTCCCGCCAATTAAAACAGAAAAGGCTGCTGCATCCCTACTGGTTCTTGCAAACGTTTTGAAATTTTGCTAGTCTAAAAATTGGAATCACGGCTCTCAGAACCTTCCTGTTTTATCCAGCAGCCTCAAATAACAAAACCGCTGATTTGGAAGGGAATGAGAATACAAATGTCAGAAAGAACTCTACACATGATAAAACCCATTATTCAGCATTCTGACAACCACAGTTCAACTTTTACAGGGTTTCCAAGGTACTTACAATCCTAAAGTGACTTTTGAATTGAAAGTTAACATGTCAGAAAAAGCAAACTTAAAACGTTTTGAATAAGCAATCTCTGGCCTACATAAACTACAATACGTTTGCACTCAAATAGCACCTGTCTTAGATGTGGTTAGCGCAAATTATTAGCTACTTCTTTAACTAAACACTATTTTACCAAATTCCCAAAAGGATCAAAATAACAGTTATTCTCTCATTTGATATATACCACTTTATAACAACAAAAATCTGTTCAAATACAAGACTTTATTTTTATTTATTAATAAAGTAAATATAATGATTTTTGAAAAAAAAAAAGTTTAAAAATGTTCAGCCTTCATGTTAATGTAGGTTAGGCCATTCAAAAGACAAAGCAGAGTTAACATTAAGTCATGGTCCAGGATTATACTTATGAGAAACAAATACAGGACTTACGGTACTTGTTAAGTAAAGACAACCAAAATAAACTGTATTTCAAATTTGTTTCTATAAAAACATATTAAAGACCATTTTAAAATAGTATCCATCTTTTCTTTCAAATGGGCATATAGCTTCATTTGCAATCATGTACAAATATAATAAACTTGACTAATAGCTTTCGTAATCTTTTAATACAAATACAATTCCTTCCTCCTTTATGCAACCCAACAAAGTAATAGCAAGTGAAGTCATTAGAAAAATATGGACCTTTCTGAATCTATATTGCATTTGTAACTTAGATTGGAAAATACAGTTCAGATCATATGAACACGTGGATTTCAGGTGTACACGTCACCTGTGCCTTGCAAATGATCAGATATGGTCTTTATTTTGGCTGAAATGCAAAAATACGATTAATTTCTTAATAACAGATTAGTTAAAAATAGTTTCCATTGATAGCAGTGCTAGTCCTAGAACAAAATGTAAGCAAAACATATTTGTAAGTCACTGTCTATTCAGTGCCCCCAATATACAGATCCTAAGCCCTTAATATACATTTGCTTTAAAGATTAATGAATGGACATCTCACATGTCTGATAATCTTTACTTTAAACAATCCTGTAAACATAGTCAAAATCTTTCTAAAAGAAGTAAAATTCAAGTAAACATTGCATATTTGATTTAAACTAACCTTACAGTTAAATTCGCTTATGACACATTGGATGAAAATCATTCAATACGCAACAAGGTTTTAAAAAATCATCCACATGTAAAAATGGAACTGAACTCTGTAAACATGTTCATGTTTAAGAACTACCGTAGTGCAGCTGCTCTTTGGTTTGGCAGAATGATACCGGTCAGACGCCTCAGGTACCGAACATTCAAGTAAATCTGTACCCAGGCAAAACCAAGACTCCTGGTGGAATTTGTCTTTAATGGCAATGGCAGGACCTGAAATCCAACTTTATTTTCCTTAAATATATCAAAGTGTTCGAAGGACCAAAGATAGAGTACTAATAGATTTAGACAGGCCTTCATTTTGACCTTTGCCCCTAAAGAGTTGATAGCACTAATCAATCAATACCAGTCGAAACACCAAAGAGGCAACCTTGCCGTGACTCCCAGGCCATTTGTAGGCCCCTGCTGAATGACCATTAACACGTATGAATAAATCAGCCAAATATCTAGAATGTGGCAAACTGCTGGCCATAAATTAAACCAAAGGTAACTAAGGCAAAGGCTTTAAGTGAAAACTTTTGAAAAGGTGTTTGCTCTACTATTAAAGATGACGTTAAATAAAACTTAAAAGAGAAAGATTACATCACCACGAAAGTGCCTGAATAGGTTAAAGGGGAAAGACTATGTTTCCTCAACTGTTAATCAGGTGCATGCAAATCCTGTGATCTAAATGTAGAAATACTCACAAAAAGTACCGGGAGAACATTTCTGAAAGTAGTCAGGTAAGTTTAAACGTTCACAATCTCCTTCCAATACATAAACCGCCAAAGTGAAGTGATTTTTTTAACTCCCTTAACTCGCATTACTTAAAAGTCTTCTAGAGTCAAGAGTATTAGGACTACAAAGTTCAAATAAAGTTATAGGAACCATTGTAATAGTATTCCAAACTGTATTTTCAAAGTAACTCATTCCTTTGGTTCAAAGGGAGAAAACATTACTTCCTATTAAAATCTAATATTAGCATAGCCAATGGAATTAGACAAATCCTATAAACTGAAGATCTGGAACAGCTGACTAAAAATTTATGCTACATTAGGAAATTACAGAGCTATCCCTACAGCGTATGTTTGGCATACAGAAGGTACCTCCAAAATACTTGGTGGATGAATGAAATACAAGGCTAATTTTGCAAAATTAGGAGTCAAAGAATGTGAGAGGTCATCCAGTCTAACTCATGCATAATACCCCTTCCTCCAATCCTATTTTACAGAGAGATAAACTGTAATGGTCAATATTTACAGATGCTGGTTAAGATTCAGCTCTATCCAATACTGGAAGCAATCAATCATTTTGGTTTGTGTGTGCACACAGGACTAAACAGGACAAATGAGGTAACATTTCTATGTTGTTTCTCCTTTACAGGGTACAGTATTTTCCCTTAGAGTTAATTCAACAATTCCTGTCGCTTAGACTGGATTTCCAAAGGAAGTCAGATTTCAAAATTGGCACGAATAGTGGAATCCACTGCTCACAGACTGGAAGTTTTAAATGGACTACTCAGGTTAGAATTTCTCTCCTGAAGGTAGAATTATGCTAAGCAGTTTTATTCTAGTTCAAATTGCATTTTAAGTCACCGTTTAAGCTTTATAGCATCGCTGTAAAAAGTTTCCAAGCAATTTTTAGTAATCACCTAAACTGACATTTGAAAGTCAACAGCATGTGTATCCTAAATACCTTAGGACGACAAGTAATTTTTAACAGCTTACAAAACCTGTCCATCTTCCTCTTTACTTTTCTCCTAGCCACTGCCACTATTCTGTGTCCAATATTCCTATAGCACATGTGCCTTTGTGTTTCCCTGCCCATAAAAATACCCATGAAAGTTCAACAAAAAAGGAATTTGAAAGCAGAGAAAACCAAAAATATTTCTACTTAAGCCTTGGGCACAACACTACATTACATGGTTGTATTAATGCTTAGAACTAAGCCCTCAATGAATTATACAAATGTGCTCCATGTTTTAAATAACTATATTTAGATATCTGAATCTTTCTGAGTGTTATTTTATAGCCAACAATAAAAAAACTTTATTATTAAAAATGTTGAAAAGTATAAAACAGTAATTATAAATTAGCAAACACCCAATAAAAAAAAGTTATTTTCTTTTCCTTACACAGTACACGCAACAGTAAGTGGATATTATCAATCACCTTCAGCCACCACACTGCCCTACATGTACTTCACTTAAGACAACTTCTCAGCTTGTTGGAGTGAAAATTTATATGGATACAAAGAAACGACTCTAACAATAGAACTCAGGTGTCAAAAAAATACATCTGCCATGTTAACATGTGTTTTGATAGCTCATACTGTAGCATCTCATAACAGGTAAGTGTTATTTCCAAAATAAAATTAAGTCACTTTTGTAGCAGTCAGTCGATGTAGCACAAATGGGCTTATGTTAGATTAAGGCATCTTCCTGCTCTGGAGTAGTGCTTCTGTGGATCCAGCGATCTGTACAAAGGCTTCCTTTTTTAAAAAATATATCTTCTGTTATACTTCAATTATTTCATTCCATTGATCATTTTCTTGCAAATAAAACTGAAAATATCAGTCCATAATATGTTCTTATAAACCTACAAAATCAGAAACAATTGAGTTACTGGTTAAAACTTAATTTTATAGTTCTGAAAATAAGATTTATTAAGCGGTTCTGTGGGCTAAGGTATAATTTGCTAAAATAACAAGACCGGACACAGGGGCGCCTGGGTGGCTCAGTCGGCTGCACGTCCGACTGCGGCTCAGGTCATGATCTCACGGTCTGTGAGTTCAAGCCCCACGGCAGACCCTGTGCTGACAGCTCAGAGCCTGGAGCCTGCTTCGGATTCTGTGTCTCTGTGTCTCCCTCTCTCTCTGTCCTTCCCTTCCTTGTGCTCTGTCTCTCTCTCCTTCAAATATAAACAAACACTTAAAAAATAATAAAATAAAATAAGAAGGAAATAAATAGTTTAATACAACTAATACTGTAATAATAACAAAGATTTTTATAAGCAGCAAGTAAGGGGTACTGCTGGCTTTCTTCCTCAGAAGCAAACGAGAACATTTTAAAAGAGGTGGATTCTTTTGGTTCTCCCTTACTGTTAACTTGGACATAACCTGCGAGGACATCTTTACCCACCCCTTCCTAAGACTGCTAGAGCATATAGGGAGGTACCCACAGCAACATTTATAGATTGTTGAGGATTTTCAACAACCACTAGCATCAGACATTCTTCCACCCACATTAAGAATTCTAGAACCAAGGCTATACCACAGCCACAGTTCTTGGTGGGCATGGTCACCTCATGACACACAGTCACCACTCCTCTCCAGAGTCCAGCCTGACACAAGCCCACCCTGAGAGCCTCTGTTCGGATTCTGCTAGGTCTCACATAGGCTCTGCCTGTTACCTTGGACCTGGGCTCCAGGTCCTTTGTGAGGAACTGAATGCTAATGAAAACTGCTGAGCAAGGAAGCAGATGCTCCCCTGATTGAGACTGCAGATGAGAACTCCTTGAAAAGATGAACTCCTGCCACAGAAAAACTGACAATAAAGGGACATTGTCTTCAGTTGCTGTTTGTGGTCATCTGTTATGCAGCAAAGGGTAACCAATACAGGTTACGAGGAAGACTTCGGAACAATCTAATAGCTGCCCAAGATGCTCCCAAGTCATCGAGAGAGTCCCCAACTGAAACAGAGAGCCGTCTTTGTTTCAAAGCATCGGGAGACACGGAGCTCACTACATCCCTCACAGTTCAACTTAGTTACACCACCTACTTGCACTAACGTTTGTGTTTAGTCTGTCTGGGAAGTTCCTGGTTGCCAGTTACATTAATTTCCTCTGGCTGCTGTCTCGGGCTGGCCAGACAGAGATCAGCTGCTCAGCGTGGCTGGCTACAGGAAACTGCTCTTTTGTTACCTCTTTTCCAACTAGATCACATCAGCGAACCTCTGCAGTCTTTTCTGCAGCCACTCTTCTCTGGATCAACATCCTTCTAATAGTAGGCAAAAGCCATCTTGTTTTTCTTAAACTAATTAATAAGACACCATTTACTGAAAAGATTAGTCGTCCACATACCAACCCAAAAAAGCTTTTATTAGCTTCTTCATTAACCTACCAATACATGTTTACTAAGACTGTGCTAGAAGTGGTAAGAAAAATGGGATTTAGGCAGCTGTTACCTTCCAATCTCTTCTTAACCACCTAATTTTGCTGATATAATTGAAAGAGTAAAAAAAAAAAAAAATGACTTGCAAATTGTTTTGAGATTAGAAAACATGAAAATAACTGCATTTGTTCAAGGAGATTACCTTTATACTGTCTTACCTTGTTCTTATTCAAATGGTTAGTTATGAACCAGTGGTACTCAATTTTCTATTGCCACTGTAACATGGTTATTTGTCCCTGTAAGCACATAATTATATACGACATGACACAAAAAAAGAAGTATTAAGTTTCTGGCTAAATGGTAGAACTGATGATCACAGTAAAAGCAACTCTTACAAAAGCACTATATTATGCTTATGGTTATCAACCATAACCATATCCTCTTGGAGAACCCAGAAGCGCTAAGAGCTAAAAGTCTGGTTTTAGGCTTATATTTGTGAAAATGTCCATTGGCTTTGAAAGCAGCCATAACTGCGAAGCCCATGAATGAATTTTTCCTTTGACCTTATACATGGGGTCTGATGATCCTAACGAATACTAATTTAAGAGAATATCCTAAGGATACCAATTCAAGAGAATAACTTAAGCATTGCGAAGAGCCAAAAACAAACAAAAAATCAGAAATTCTGACAGCAGGCTTTCAAGTCTTAGGGTATTTCCCTTGGTACAAAATGATCTGAATGTCCAAACCATTTTCCTACAGAGCAAGATGAGGACAGTGCTATTACTATTGCTATTAAAAACTGCCATGCAAAGAGTGTAGCTTGTAATGCATGTTAAATGGCCAGCCTATGTCATAAACCTGGCCTGGTTCGAAAGACCACCTCTGTCTTGTCAACTGTTTTACAATGAATCCATAATTCACGAAATGATTAACAGTCATCATGAAAAGGTTAAAATATTTTTGGTGCACTCTTTTTATATATTAAGGCAGCAAAGACTACAATGCATTTCAAAAATTATTTTCAAATAAGCAAAATTAAGACCCCAGAGAAAAATCTTGTTTAAACGCTATTCAGAATCGTGAGTGCCAAAAGAACTTTCTACATCTGAGGTCAAGAAACACATGGCTGGGTAACAAAAGGCAAGTCCAACTGTGTCAACAGAACAGAACACAGGAGTAGCCACTACACTTTCTCAAACCTTTTCTCCATAAAAGCTACCAATAAACACTGACACCCCATATGTCAGATATTCCATTAAAAAGTCTCTCGTATGTTAGTATTTTCAAATATGGTGTTATTTTGATTTTTCCACATTTGTTAAACCTGGTTGACTTCATCTGAACCAGAAAAAGCAGTGTTTTCGAGAAGACAAGTTAAGTATTACCTGCTCTGACAGTGCCTTCCTCAGATTCATTCTCTGTCCACTGAGATTCACTGTCCAACAATCGGTTTTTTGATTCACTAAGCGGTTTGATAGGAAAGGGTTGACTTGAGCCAATACTGAAAAGAGGAGGAAAATAATTCAGTAACTAGTTTAATGCTCAATTAATACTTAATTAATAAGCAGCAAATTAGTATTCCTTCTCCTACATATGTGAGGGCAACTCATGAGATCTCAGCACTCTTAAAAAACTCTATCTTCAAAAGAAAAACATGCCCCCAACCCCCAACTGAATGGCTCTCTAGACCCAAGAATCTCTATTCCAACAGTGCCAATGAAAACTATTAGACAAAAGAAAAAAGCTCCAAAGGCTGGTGTGAAACTTTTAAAACGTGTTAATCAAGAGCCGTTAAGGTAGCACAAGGTGGGGATCTAGGTCTGTGGCCAGGACAAAAAAAATTACCTGTCATTTCCCAAGTTTTCTGCTTTCTACCTCTGCAGTTTAGATCTAAGGGGAAAAAACGATTTAGTGACTCAGCGTAGACTTACTTTTCTTGCTAAGAGACCCGGGGAGGGAGGGAGTGGAGGAAAGGAAGGAGGAAAAGGGAAGTAGTGTTCCTTGCGTGCTTACTACGGGCCAGACACTGTGCTGGGTGCATCAGACACAGGTCAAGCTTCACAATAACCCTTGGAGGCAGCTGTGATTGCCCCCATTTGGCAGAGCTGGAAACCGAGTCTCACACAGCTGAGGTGACTTGTTCAGACCCACAGTAAGAGTTAGAGTTCTAAGGTCCAAAGACTGGAGGTTCTAAGGTCGACGATCTGGTATTAATGGGTCGGCTTGGAATTTATAATCCCTCCTCCCCCGCAATTTATTTCTGTCTTAAATAAATTTCAACTGTTTCACTTTGACAGAAGCATCTCTATCTTCTTTAAAATTTCATTTAAAATGAGCGATTTCTCTGAATTTATGAATCGGATTGCTTGGCATGGAAATACTGAGAAAATATCTCCTAAGATGAATGAATGAGAAAAAATTTTACATTTGTATTTTTGAAATCCTCATTAATATTATTTTCACACCGCAGTTAACATCTGTTTATCAAAATATAATGATGGATCGCATGACCAATTTCTTTGAAAAAAATAGAGCTGATACAAACCAACAGAATCAAATCTTGAAAGAATATCTTAGTTTCTAGAAAGATGTAGCATATTTAGGATAGCCATGTTTCCTGGTTGGCCCAGAGATTTCTAGTTCAACTATTAATAGCAATAGCAAGCATTCTCTTTCTTACTATTAAAAGTGTTATGGTTTGGATGATAAAAAATACGGCTGTCTTCAACATATTAGGTAAACACCCACATTAACTCTCAGTTAAAAACCTTTTATATAGAATTTCTCTTTGCCTATGTTGGCTCACAAATTACTACTGTATTTATATGTATGTACAACACACACACACACACACACACACACACACACACACAGTTTGCTTTATGATGAATACAGAAAAACTTGATGACAAGAAGCACACCTTCTAGCATATTCATTTTGATTTGTAACAGGAGCTTGTTCTGGATCCATCCCCACAAGGCGAGTTGGAAAACTGCAACCATCACCCAAGCTGCACAATGAAAAATATCAGCAATAATTTAAATCATATTAATGTAAATCAAAGTGTTCAAATTTAATAACCATTCTTCAAAGTCACAGTATAAAGAAATTATATGCTGTCATTACAGAGAATAATTCTTAACATTTTCTAATTTAGAGGGTTACTCTTCTAATTTACATGTATTTAAAAACAATATCTTTCATGACTACTAAGATTATAATGCCTCTTATAATACCTCAAACATAGGTATTCAAGTACCAGGGAAGCTGATAATGAAAAATTTGGGTAATTAAGACTATAATTATTATTAAGATTATGCTGCCTCAAACACAGGTAATCAAATATTTGGGTAAGTGACCTGCTCATCACTATCAGTTAGGACATCATAAAGGCACAAAATGGAATTCAAGATGTAAGTTCCACATATTTACTCATTTGACAAGTATTTATTAAATGCCTACAATGCTCTGGGTACTATTATAAGAGGTAGGGATAGAGCAGTGAACAAAGGAGAAGAAAATCTCTGCCTTCAAGAAGTTTACAATTAAAAACCTACAGACATATCTTCACATTTTAAAAATACCAAAAGTACGTAAAACGGACTTTCACTTCCAGCCAAGATGGGTTAACTGGTAAAGGTGACCTCCTGTCATGAACAACCAGAAAACTGAATACTATATGCAATAACTATTTTCCAAACAGGCAACACAGAACTGTAGTGTCTGAAAGAAGAGAAACCAACCAAGTTGAGTCCCAGCTTTCTGCCAGGACCTGGGCACCACCAGGGGAAGCAGAGCAAGGTCGTCTCATTGAATTGAGGTTTCAGAGATGCAAGTTTCAAGGTGATGTGCTTGAATCTACTGGACAGAGCTGAGGAAGGGCGGATACGCAGAGGAAGGTCTATGGCAATGTGCACAGCGTTTCACTGGAGTCTCGTGGTGAATGCTAAACTACACATGTGAATCTGGGAGAAGAACAACTGGGAAGCACAAGAGAACAATCCATGAAGCTCCTACAGCACTGGAAGGCATTCGAATCTGACCAGCCACACTAGAGAGATCTTACTGTACGTCTGGATTCGGTAGAGACCCCAGCTTGCTCTCGCCTGTGTTGCAGGGCTAAACCTGCCCTAAAGAAAATGCTACTTTAAACCCAACGTAACAAAGCTTAAAACAGCCTCAAAAGGACCACACTAAAAACACAAGTAACTGCCAAAGGGAGAAAGCAAAATTTAACACACAAAATTCAAAATGTCTACCACCTAATAAAAAATTACTAGCGTGGAAAGTAGGAAAATGGGATCCACAGCTAAGAAAAAAACAGTTACTAGAAAAGAATTAGAAATGACTATGAAAACTTGAAGCAATCACTTTAAATTAGTGACTATAGATGTCTGTGAATTAACAGGAAAAATGGACATAATGAGAAGAGAAATTTAAGATATAAAAAAAAGAACCAAAATGAACTTCTACAAAAGTTCAGAAGAAAAACACAATATTCTGTGTATTCTGAAAAACACAGTATCTGAAATGAAACATTCATTAGATGAGCTTAACAGCAGAGCGGACATCACAGAAGAAAAGATCAGCGAACTATCCAAACTTCAGCAGGTAGAAAAAAAAGATGGGGGGGGCAGGGAAAAACAGTAACGACCTGTGGGTCACGATCAAGCAATTTAACATACATATATTTAAGGGTGCCCGAAAACCCAGTGCGGGGAGAGCATGGGCAGACATGATTAAAATTATTTAATTGTGATGAAAACTATAAATTCATAGATCCAAGAAGCCTAATGAATCCCAAAGAGGATAAACACAAAGAAACCATACATCATATCAAACTGCTTAAAATCAGTGATCAAGATAACATCTTAAAAGAAGCTAAGGAGGAAACAAAAGACCCGGTAATTTACAAATAGTGGAATAAAGATGAATGAGGCTGATTTCTTGTCAAAAACAATGCAATCTGTAAATTAATGGAACAACATCTTTAAAGAATGGGGGAAAAACCAACCAAACCAGTCAACACTGAAATTGCTACTTAGAGAAAATAATCTTAAAAAATACTAGTCCGTGTTCTACCCAGTCGGAGTGGACGACCTTGTAATACAGGAGACAAAGGAGATTGGTACACTTAAAGATACAGCGATAGGATCTGCCAAATGAAACACGGAAAAAAGACTAAGAAACGGACAGCGCATCGCTGAGCTGTGGTAGAACTTCTCGTGTACGAATATACATGCATTCTTCTTATTTGAAGAAATAATGATTCAAACACTTTCCAAATCTGATGAAAGTTATAGAATCACAGCTCCAAGAAGTTCAACCAATTCCAAGCACAAGAAAAATGAACAACGTACCAAACAATATATACCAAGGCGCATCCTAATCAAACTGCATGAAACTAGTGATGAAAAGCCCATTTTATTTTTATTTATTTATTTATTTTTTCAACGTTTATTTATTTTTGGGACAGAGAGAGACAGAGCATGAATGGGGGAGGGGCAGAGAGAGAGGGAGACACAGAATCGGAAACAGGCTCCAGGCTCTGAGCCATCAGCCCAGAGCCTGACGCAGGGCTCGAACTCCCGGACCGCGAGATCGTGACCTGGCTGAAGTCAGACACTTAACCGACTGCGCCACCCAGGCGCCCCGAAAAGCCCATTTTAAAAGCACTCAGTGAAAAAGACACATCACATGCAGAGTAAAAAAGAACGACTGCAAACTTGTCAGACAAAAATGTAACCCAGAAGACCATTAAAGCAATATCCAGAATTATAGGCCAAGCAGAATGTTTTTCAAAAGTGAAAACAAAACGTTATTTTCAGACAAACTATAGGAAGTGCAGCAAATGAAGAGAAGAAAATCCCGTAACATTGATAAATATGTCATTCGAATTTCAAATATTTTTTTCCTTTTCTGTAGTGACTCTGATACATAGATGGCCTAAGACGCCTGGGGTCTGGGTGACAAGGAAACTATGAATCATCTCAAGCATTTATTTTCATTTAAATTTGAAGTTAAAAATTGCATTATGTGTTGGGTCTTCGATTTAAAACACAACAGAATAGTCTGTGATAGAATCTTTGAGATGTAGCTGGTAAGTATAAATTCTTATCATTTTCTACTTCAAACAACTTATTTACATTTTGCAGGAGAAAGTGATTGTTATTTTTATGAATCATTTTTTTCCACTTTCCAAATATATGCCCAAACCAAACCCTCTTTTGCCCATGTAATAAAAAACATGAAAAATAAAATATTTTATATAATCAAGATATTCTGAGTTTTCATTCTCCAGGCTCATAGGATGTCATATACAGTATTCTGTGAATCTTAACACATTTAGCCAGAGACTATCACAGATTCTGTAATTTCTGAGACCTGCGTTTTATAAATTACCTTGAAAATATTGGAAGTAGCCAGTATTTCTTTTCATCGCCAAAGACTTGTCTCCAATTTTTACTGCATCCAAGAGAAAAACCATTTCCATCAGGTCCATATGAAAATGTGGGTGAGCGGAATGATTCTGTTATAGATACACAGATTAAAAAAAAGAATTAATCCACTGAATAATTATATAAGGATGGAAAGTAGCAATTTTCTTGCTTACTCTTTGATATCAAAGTTTTATAAATATAATTTAAAACAAATATTTGTAACAATTAAAAGAAACTTCTCAAACTTATTTGGGAAAAAAATACTACCTCTGAGTATTTCATCATCTTTATAAAATGAAAATGTGAGAAGAATTATCTAATATTACTAAAAAATCTACTGAAGTGTGTTCATTATATCTCCCTTAAAAAACAAAAGTTTATGGGGTGCCTGGATGGCTCAGTCAGTTAAGCATCTGACTATAGCTCAGGTCACGATCTCACGGTTCCTGAGTTCAAGCCCTGCATCGGGTTCTGTGCTGAAAGCTCAGAGCCTAGAGCCTCCTTCACACTCTGTGTCTACCTCTCTCTCTCCCCCCCTCCCCCGCTCACGCTCTGTCTCTCTTGAAAGAATAAAACATAGAAAAAATACTTATTTTGAGACAGAGAGCATGTGCACACGCATGCAAGTGGGGGAAGGGCAGAGAGAGAAGGAGAGAGAATCCCAAGCAGGCTCTGTGCTGACAGTGTGGGGCTCGAACCACATGGGGCTTGAACCCATGAACTGTGATAGCATGAGCTAAGCCGAAATCAAGAGTCAGATGCTTAACTGACTGAGCTACCCAGGCGCCCCTGTATCTCCCTTTTAAAAAAAGATATGCTAACTCTTGTGACTTCACTCATTCATTACTTATGAAATTCTTACCACGTGCCTGTTGGCACAGTACCAGATGTTTGAGATCCAAAGGTAAATTAGATGAAATTCTTAAAGAACCGACAGTCCAATAAAGTCTAACAAAACTGCACTGTGACACAGATACAGGTGTGAATGGGGGTGGCAGTACTTGAACATGATCTTGAACGATGAATAAAAAAAGAGGCAGATGCTAATCAGAGACCATTATTTCAAACTTGGCTGCTAAATGATCCATAGTGAGGGCTGAAGAAAGATACACTTCTCACCAGAAAAACGAAAAATTTTTTTTTCCTTTATTTAAAAGTACAATGCATTTTAGCATGTTTTATAAGCTATGGGTAAGAAGCCAGGGAGAGAGGAATTGGGAAAGGTTGATGATACAGAACAGTAAAGTAAAAACTGATGCAAGAAAATTCTAGAAGAAATGGGACAGCCTCTAGAAGAGTTCTAAAGATTAACCTTAGATACCAGAAAAGACATTTGTCCTCAGAATTTGGAGGCAGCGTGACAGTGATGGGTTTGAAAGGAGAAATGTCTGTGTGAGGTTACAAGGGTGGGGGGCAGGCGGTTAAAAATTTACCTGTGACAACTTCTAATTTTTTCAGAAACACATGACATGTGACTGCCAAAGAGAGTAGAGGACCCAAGTAGAGGACCCAAGTGAGATCTGAGACCTGCACACATCACTGTGGGAGTAAGACTGCCTTCCCCAGCTTTCTACACCTCGACATACGTGTGGATAAAGTGAAGCGTTGGGGAATAACCAGGGAGCAGATCAGCAAATGAATTATGGGAGGAAACCAGGGTGGGTGTAGTGTGAGAGTACTGTCAGGAGTCGTTAAAGTCACTTGTTACAGGATCTAAAACGGAAAAGACGAGAAAATGAGACCAGAAAGGAAGGGAGTCCTTGGGAGAGAAGTGCTGGAGAATACAGGCAGGGTAAAAGAGGAAATTCGGTGGCATACAGGATAGATGAAAGGATGAAGAATGGCCAGAGAATGGAAAATTCCAATTGAAAATTTCAGGGACTCCTCAGTTCTAAGAGAATAAAAGGTTCAATATTTAGTTTATGGGAATGATTAGCCACCAGAACCAAAGACTGCTTGCCTGTCTGGGATGATCGCAGTTGTCTGAATATAGAAACTCTTTAAATTGGAGAACTGGTCTCAAGGTAGGTAGGTGACAGTAATGGGGAAGGGTAGAGGGGACACCTCAAAGGACACAAGAGCAGGACTCTGGAAGAAGCAATGGAGAAGCAGCCCAAGGTCAGGGGTGTGGAAGGTGAGGCTGTAAAGGAAGTGGAGTGTCCGGGTAATGATTTTTCAAAGTGTGGGTTAAAACACCCGGATAGGTGTTTTTCACATCCAATAGGCTGTGAAATCGACTCAGTGGTTTGTGACCAGCATTTCTTTTTTTTTTTAATTTTTTTTTCAACATTTATTTATTTTTGGGACAGAGAGAGACAGAGCATGAACGGGGAAGGGGCAGAGAGAGAGAGGGAGACACAGAATCGGAAACAGGCTCCAGGCTCCGAGCCATCAGCCCAGAGCCCGACGCGGGGCTCGAACTCACGGACCGCGAGATCGTGACCTGGCTGAAGTCGGACGCTTAACCGACTGCGCCACCCAGGCGCCCCGACCAGCATTTCTTTTTAATGAACTAGAACAGAAAGTATTAGAGTACATTGCAAATAAAGATTAATAATGTTTTATAAATTTTTTGCTTATTTTATTTATATAATTTTATAAATGTGTGCATGCACTAGGTCACGATACAAATGATGCCTTTCTTGCTGGAGTCACAGGCAAAAAAGTTTGAAGAAGACTATTTAAAGAGAACGGGTTTCCCATGAAACACTGCTCTCTCATAACAACGCTGGGCAGGAAACAAAGCAGGATTAGAACTGTAAGTGTTCCAAGTGTTAAGGTTAAAAAGTTGAAGTGCTCAGGCTCCCATCTGAAGCAGTCAGCTATGACTCAGCTTCAACTGAAGGACGCCAGATAGGAAAACAGGCCCACTGTTACCAGATTTACCAATTTCTGAAAAGAATTCTACTTTTCTATAGGAAATCTCTCCCTTTCTAGTTCGGGTGGTTCATAAGGACTAGACTTTCCATGTAGGCTGCCTTTTATCATTGCCGTTAAAGACAAGGAGATGGCAGGATATCTGTGAACAGGGTAATGAATTAACCACTAGACACCAGAAAGTTTATTTATACAGAAAAGGGAGGAATGCATGTTGGGACTGAAGGAGGTGGGCTGGGAAACAAAGGGCACAGAAATCTTTACCATGGAGCCCATCATGCCTTAAATGACTCAGTAGAACACAAGGTTAAAATAACCTAGAGACATATCTAAAAGTCTCCCTGAGATGTCTTTATCTTTCTGTATTATAATCTGCCTCTAATTCTCCTGTTAGACATATGGCTTTAGATGGCAGGGAGTCTTTGACTTTCCTATGAAACAATGTGACAAATCCCTATTTTGTCTTTTTTTTTTTTTTTAATTTTTTATTTGAGAGAGAGAGGGGGAGTGTGAGCAGGGTAGAAGGACAGGGAGGATCTCAGTTAAGCTCCATGTTTAGCACAGAGTCCAACGTGGGGCTCAATCCCATGACCCTTGGGATCACGACCTGAGCCGAAATCAAGAGCTGGATGCTCAACTGACTAAGCCACCAGGTGCCCCAACAAATCCTTATCTTGTACTTTGGTACATTAGCCAATGCCTAAATATTTCGATTAGAGCACGGTAGCTGCTTACAGGCTAATAGCTTAGTTTGAGCAATGAATGCCACATCACCCTTATTTAGGAAATGTTTGTCCAATTATTTTAATACTTCACTGAGTTTCTCCCCTATATTGTACTTTAAAAAATGAACAACAAAAAAAGGAAATAAATACTGATATTAGTGATATAATACATAAATTTCACTGTCAACTGACATAAAGCCATGTTAAAAACACTACTCAATCAGGGAAAATGCCAGTCAGTGTGCAATCAACTGTGGGGGAAAAGAGTAAAAGACACATGTTTTAGCTAAAAAAAAAAAAAAAAGCTGTAAATGAGGATTCAAAAATTTTTTTTTTTGCACTCAGAGAATGAACTTCCTTATAACATGTAAATCTACTATCTACCTTTATAGGTTGATTTTTGAAAAAGCATTGTATAAACGCAAGAAACAGCTTTTATTTACTAAAATTTATGCAGTCGGTTCTTTTATATACAATGCACCACTGAAAATACATACAAAAGCCAAACTCATTTCGTCAACCTTCAAAATAATGAACGTTTACATTTATTGTACACCCATTGTTCTTATCCAGTCACAGTCTTAATACGGAACTGTTTTACACTTCTTTATCATCTATCTTCTCATGATACTTCATACTCGTTTATGGTCATTTTCCTAAATAATTAGGATTTCTTTTAACCTACTTACCTATTGTTGTTCTGTTTCTTCCAACCAGCCAGCAGTGGTAGCTGAAAAGTGACAGGACGCTGATGAAGAACATTGTAGACACAAAGAAAAGAAAAAGTACGTGGAACTTTGCACGTGTATCAGAGAGTTCATTCTGAGGAAGGAAAAAAGAAGACTCAACTTTAGAATCGTCAGCCTCTAAGATATATTATGATCTGGTTCTTCCTAAAGACTGCCGAATCTACCAAAACTCTTGCCAGATATGAAGACTATGGAGTAAATTGAGGTAATAAATCCAAAGGCAACATCTCCAAAAACAGAAAATTGGCATTATCAAAGGAGCTTGCTTATATAAAAGGTGGAAAGAGTCATTTTAAAAATTACTCTTAAACATTTAAAAATTTTAGTAATGTTTTCAATAAGGATGCACTTTTTTGCTCAACATTTTCTTTTGTACTTTACGCATATCTTCATATGCTTTCCCCAATATCCAGGATATACGACGGCTTTCCTTATCTGTGCCAAAATATTTGCTTATTTTAATGACACATGCTGCTAATCAGACACCAACTGTGATAAATTTATCTTTAATTTCTACTTTTGGAACACCACAGCAAATATCCCCATGCCCTCAGTTGTCTTGATTCCTACCTTTTTTATCCTCGTTCAATTCCTCCAGTCTTTTTCGGTAATTAGCAGTTTTGGTAAGTACATTTACCGCAAGGTATTAGCGGATGGAAACAGCTTCTCTGTTACCCGTTCTTATGGCGATATTCATTTTAACAGAAGCAAAACCTTAACCTGGAATTATTATCTATTAATAGGAGACAGAGGAAGCCCTGAAGTGTTGGCTCTTAAAATAAAACCGTCCATATGGTTTTCCACTAGAGCATGAGGTGGTTCTGCTTGACTGAAACGTTGTTTACAGGGTAAATGGAAGGTTTTTAGCATTACATGATTCTTTCATCTTTTTCTCTTCTCTCCCAGAGTAACCACAATGTGTTTTCAATACATCAAGTGATTTCTAACTTCCCATCTTGTGAAGCAAATGAGTTTTATACGTATTTACTAGAAATGTCACAAGAATGGCATGGCAATGATGTTCTTTTACCTTTGGACAACTCTCTGTAGATTTCCTGCGGCAAAGCTTGTACAAATAGAGATAATGTATTAAGAAACCAAATTTTATACAAAATTATCCTGAACACTACTTTTATAGATCTTTTATGTTTTGAAGGAACACTAAGATGTTGCTCTCTAAAGGTCGTTGACACTTCCTCCAAAAACACAAAAGAGAACACAGACACGAATATTTAGCTCTTCAAGCACATTCAAGGTACACTTTAAACAGACACTTTTACACTGTTTTTAAAAACGGAGATTTATATCTAGGAAAAAATAAAATTCATTTTTTTTTTTTTTTTAGCAAATAGCTCTTATTAAAAAACTTCTGATTAGTGGTTTCTTTCTAAAAACTGTATCTGAGAATTTCTTACCACCTTCACTGCTACCGCGACAGCCTTCTCAGAGGTGCTGTCCTTTACCCTGCCGTCTAGTTTCAGCTCGGCAGTCAGGGTGACGCGTTACAGCGAGACCACGTCACTCCTCTGCTCCCGTTTCACTCAGCGTGAAAGACAACATCCTTGACACTCTCCGAGGCCCACTGCCTGGGCTTCGCATCACTCCCGTTCTCAGTCATTCTACTCCAGCCACACTAGCCTCCTCGCTGTTACACGAACACGGTGGGGGTGCGCCTGCAAAATTTGGGGCCTTTGCTCTGAAGTCCAGATGTTTCCTCAGAAGTCTTCTCTCGGATGTCCACTAACTCCCCTCAAGTCTTGGCTCAAATCTTATCCTTCTTATTGAGATCTACCCTGATCACACTCTTTTTCAAAAATTGAGATATAACTGACATGTAACGTTAGTTTTGGTTGCAAAACATGATTTTACATATATATCAAAATGATCACCACAGTAAGTCTAGTTAACATCCATACCACAGGCACAAATTTCTTTTCCTAGTGAGATCTTTTAAGAGGTACTATCTTAGCGACTTTACAACACATTTAACTATAGTCACTATGTTGTGCATTACATACTCAGGACGTATGTTATTTTGAACACCTTCACCCACTGTGCCCACCCCCCATGCGTTGTCCCTGACAATCACCAATCTGCTCTCTGTGTCTATGAGTTCAAAAAGTTTACATTTAAGTGACAAAAACAGTATTTTTATTTCTCTGACTTATTTCACTTAAAGTCCTCCAGACCCATCCATGTGGTCACAAATGGCAGGATTTCCTTCTTTTTATGGTTGAGTAATATTCCATTGTGTACACACACACACACACACACACACACACACACAGTTTCTTTATCCATTTGTCTATTGATGGATACTTAGGTTGTTTTCATTTCTTGGCTATTCTAAATAAGCTGCAATGCACACAGGGTTACACATATGTTTTCAAGTTAGTATTTTCATTTCCTTTGGATGAATATCCAGAAGTAGAATTGCTGGACCATACAGTTCTAATTTTTTGAGGAATCCTTATACTGTTTCCATAGTGCCTAAGCCAATCTACATTCCCACCAATGGTGCATGTATCCCCTTTTCTTTATATCCTCGCCGACGCCAGTTATTTCTTATCTTTTGATAATAGTTGCTCTAAGAGGTATGAGCTGATGTCTCACCCTGTGGTTTTGATTTGCATTTCCCTAATTAGTGACATTGACCACTTTTTCATGTACCTGCTGGCCATCCATAGGTCTGGAAAAATGCCTGTTCAGATCCTCTGCACATTTAAAAAAAAAAAAAATTTTTTTTTTAACGTTTATTTTTGAGAAGAGACAGACAGAGCATGAGCGGGGGAGGAAAAAGAGGGAGACACAGAATCCGAAGCAGGCTCCGGGCTCTGAGCTATCAGCACAGGGCCTGACACGGGGCGCAAACTCACACACCGTGAGATCATGACCCGAGCTGAAGTTGGATGCTTAACCGACTGAGCCACCCAGGCACCCCTCCTCTGCACATTTTTATTTTTTTAAATTTACATCCAAATTAGTTAGAATATAGTGCAACAATGATTTCAGGAGTAGATTCCTCAATGCCCCTTACCCATTTAGCCCATCCCCCCCCCCCACACCCCCTCTAGTAACCCTGTTTGTTCTCCATATTTAAGAGTCTCTTAGGTTTTGTCCCCCTCCCTGTTTGTTTTTGTATTATTTTTGTTTCCCTTCCCTTATGTTCCTCTCTTTTCTCTTAAAGTCCTTATATGAGTGAAGTCATATATTTGTCTTTCTCTAATTTCATTTAGCATAATACCCTCCAGTTCCATCCATGTAGTTGCAAATGTCCTCTGCACATTTTTTAATTGGTTTTTTGGCTACTGAGTTATAGGAGTTCTTTGTTTATTTTGTCTATTACCCCCTTATCAGATAATATGAGTTGCAAATATCTTCTCCCATTCAATAGGCTGCTTTTTTGATTTGTTAATAGTTTCCTTTGTCTTCTTAGTCTGATGCAGTCCCACTTGTTTACTTTTGCTTTTGTTGCCTTTGGTGTTAAATCTAAAAAACATGAAGGAGCTTACTGCCCATGTTTTAACCTAGGAGACTTACCGTTTCAGGTCTTATGTTCAAGTCTTCAATCCATTTGGAACGGATTTTTGTATGATGGAGGTAGGGATCCAGTTTCATTCTTTTGCATGTGGCTGTCCATGTTTACCAACATTACTTATTACAAAGATTGTCCTTTGCGCACTGTATATTCTTGGCTCCTGTGTCAAAAATTAACTGACCCAAGATTCATGGGTTTATTTCTGGCCTATTCTGTTCCATTGACCATTGTGTCTGTTTTCATGCCAATACCATATGGTTCTGATTACTATAGCTTTGTAATACAGCTTGAAATCAGGAAGCATGATACCTCCAGCTTTGTTCTTCTTTTTCAAGACTGCCTTAGCTATTTGGGGTCTTCTGTGGTTCCACATAAACTTTAGGATTGCTTGTTCTATTTCTGTGAAAAATGCCATTGGAACTTAGTTATGGGGTTCACTGAAATCTGTAGATGGCTTTTGGTAGTATGGACATTTTAACAATGTTAACTCTTCCAGTCCATGAGCACAGTTAACTTTCCATTTGTTTGTGCCTTCGACTGCCTTCAGCAGTCTCTTACGGTCCCCAATGTATAGGTCTTTCAACTCCTCGGTTAAAGTTATTCCCTAAGTATTTTGCCCTTTCTGATGCCAGTGTAAATGGGATTGTTTTCTCAATTTCTCTTCTGACAGTTAGTTACTAATACAGAAATGCAACTGATTTTATACCCTGCAAATTTACCAAATTAGTTTCCTAGTTCTAACAGTTTTTGTGAAGTCTTTTATTTTTTTTCTGTTCACATAATGTTTATTGATAGACTAGCATAAAAGGATGGCTGTGAAAATCATATAGGTATTTTCATTGAGAAGACATACCCACCCTGTACTTCCCAATTCTTAAAAGATACTTTATGAGGTTTCTAAAATAATGTAGAGTAAAAGTGTATTTATATCATCCCGTTTTTTTTGTTTTTTTTTTTTAATGTTTATTTATGAGAGAGAGAGACAGAGCATGAGCAGGGGAGGGGCAGAGAGAGAGAGAGAGAGAGAGGGAGGGAGGGAGAGAGAGGGAGAGAGAGAGACACACACACACAGATTTCGAAGCAGGCTCCAGGCCTGTCAGTACAGAACTGTCAGTACAGAGCCTGACACGGGGCTCAAACTCATGAACCGTGACATCATGACCTGAGCCGAAGTCAGACACTTGACTGACTGAGCTACCCAGGCACCCCAATCATCCTGTTTTTTTAAATTTAAATCCAACTTAGTTAACACACTGTAATAATGATTTCAGAAATAGAATTTAGTGATTCATCACTTTCATATCACACCCAGTGCTCATCCCAACAAGTGCCCTCAATGCCCATCACCCATTTAGCCCATCCTCCCCACCCAACACCCCTATAGCAACCCTCAGTTTGTTCTCTATAGTTAAGAGTCTCTTATGGTTTGCTTCCCTCTCTGTTTTTATCTTATTTTTCCTTCCCTTCCCTTCCCCTCTGTTCATCTGTTTTGTCTCTTAAATTCCACATGAGTGAAATCATATGATATTTTGTCTTCCTCTGACTTATTCTGCTTAGCATAATACACTCTAGTTCCATCCATGTTGTTGCAAATGGCAAGATTTCATTCTTTTTGATTGCCGAGTAATATTACATTACTTACACACACACACACACACACACACACACACACACACACACACACCACATCTTCTTTATCCATTCATCAGTCAATGGACATCTGGACTCTTTCCATAATTTGGCTATTGTCAATAGTGCTGCTTAAACATTGGGGCGCATGTGCCCCTTCAAATCAGCATTTTTGTATCCTTTGGATACATTTTGGTGGAGTCTTTAGGGTATTCTAAACATATGCATTATGCAAAGATAATTGTACTTCTTTCCTATTTGAATTCCTTTTCTTTTTCTTGCCTAATTGCTGTGGATAGGACTTCCAATACATACCATGTTGAATAAAAGTAGCAAGAGTGGGAATCTTTGTCTTCTTCTTCTTCTTTTTTTTTTTAATGTTTATTTTTGAGAGAGAAAGCATATGCAGAAGGAGGCGCGGAGAGACAGGAGATAATCCCAAGCAGGCTCCATGCTGTCAGCGTGGAGCCCAGTGTGGGGCTAGATCTCACAAACTGTAAGACCATGACCTGACTAGAAATCAAGAGTCCAACACTTAACTGACTGAGCCACCCTGGCACCCCAATCCTTATCTTGCTATTAACCTTAGGGGAAAAACTTAAGCTTTTCATCACTGACTACGATGTTAGCTATGGGTTGTCATATATGGCTTTTATTGTATTAAGATATATTCCCTCTATAACTACTTTGTTAAGAATTTTTATCAAAAATGGACATTGAGGGGCCCCTGAGTGACTCAATCGGTTAAGCCTCTGACTTCGGTTCCGGTCATGATCTCATGGCTCATGAGTTTGAGCCCTGCATCGGGCTTTGTGTTGACAGCTCAGAGTCTGGAGCCTGCTTCGGATTCTGTGTCTCCCTCTCTCTCTCTCTGCCCCTTCCTTGCTCATGCTCTCTCTCAAAAATAAAATAAAACATTTTAAAAAATGGCCATTGAATTCTGTCAAATGTTTCTCTGCATCCAGGGAAATAATCATATGATTTTTTTCCTTCATTTTTTTTAATCTGGTACGTCATGCTGATTGACTTAAAGATGCTGAACCAAACCTGCATCCCTAGAATAAATCCCACTTGATCATGGTATATGATCCTTTTAATGTATTCTTTTTTTAAATGTTTATTTATTTAATTTTGAGAGAGAATGCACACCCCGGGGGGGGGGGCCGCAGGGGGCAAAGAGAGAGGGAGACACAGAATCTGAGGCAGGCTCCAAGCTCAGAGCTGTCAGCACCGAGGCCAACCCACAAACTGTAGGATCATGACCCAAGCCAAAGTCAGATGCTTAACTGAATGAGCTACTCAGGTGTCCCCTTTTAAAGTATTCTTGAATTCAGTTTGCTAATATTTTTTTTGAAGACTTTTAGGTCTTTGTTCAACAAGGATATTGGCCTATTATTTTTTTTTCCTTGTAGTATTCTTGTCTACTTTGGGTATCAGGGTAATACTGGCCTTATAAAATAAATTTGGAAGTGTTCCCTCTTCTATTTTTTTTTTTTTTTTGGAAGATTCTGAAGACTGGCATTAATTCTTTAAATGTTTGGTTGAATTCACTACCAAAACATCTGGTTTCTGGACTTTTATTTATTGGGAAGTTATTAATTTAATTTTGTTACTAGCAATCTGTTCAGATTTTCTATTTCATCATGACTCAGTCTTGGTAGGTTGTATGTTTCTAGGAATGTATCCATTTCTTCTAGGCTGTCTAATTTGTTGCTGCATAATTGTTCAGAGTAGTCTCTGATGATCCTTTGCATTTCTGTGGTATCAGCTGTAATGTATCCCCTTTCATTTCTAATTTTGAGTCCTCTTTCTTTCTTGATGGGTCTAGGTAAAGGTTTACCTATTCTGTTTATCTTTTCAAAAAACCAACTTTGGCTTGTATGTTCTTTTTCTAGTTCCTGAAATGTAAAGTTAGGTCATTTGAGATCTTTCTCATTTGTGAGTTTTCCAGTTTTCGTTTTTGTGACTCATTTCTAGTTTTATACCACTGTGTTTTCTGTTTCTTTTGGATGGAGTGTTCTGTATGTCTGTTAAGTCCACCTGTTCTAATGTCTCATTTTTTCCCCCACGATTTAAACTGCCTCGTTGCTCTAATGTGTCATTTTAATGCCAATCCTTCCTTGCTGATTTTCTGTCTGGATGATCTATCCATCGATGAGAGTGGGGTCTTGAAGTCCCTACTATTGCTGTATTGCTCCTATTTCTCCCTTTGGGTCTGTTAATATTTGCTCTGTGTATTTAGGTGCTCCCATGTTGCGTGCACATATTCCTTTTTCAGATGTCCACCAACTCCCGTCAAACCTTTGCTAAAATCTGATCTTCTTCCTGAGGTCTACGCTGATCCCTCTAACACTTCTGTCTGTCCTGGTCATGCCACCCCAAGAAACTTGCTGCATCCCTTACTCTGCTCTACTTTGACTTTTCTTCACCGTGTTTACTTTCTAATACACAATAGGATTTACTTATTTATTATGTGTATATGCCTTCCTCTTCTCAAATATAAGTTCTATAAAAACAGGACTGTTTTGTTCATTGATCTATCCAAAGTGCCTAGAACACTGCCTGGTACATAATAAGTACTCAATAAATATTTGTTGAAGAAAAAGATTTAAGTTTACTAGCGTTTCCTTACTCATAATGAATCTGAAGGAGTTAAAAATATTTATTCTTTAATTAATAAATCATTATATGCAAACACTGGAGTTTCTGATAAAAAATGTAAAATTCTATAATCTAGACTTGATTCATCTGGCACTAAATCCTTTACTTAAACAGGGCCACTGAACAGGGTTAAGAGGGTTGTTAACTGAACAAAGGTGCTTAGAACCAGGGGAACAACAGAACCCAAAACTCGGTGGGCTGAGACCACACAGAACTGGGTGCTTTCTTCTAATATGCACAAAGGCACTGCAGGTACCAGCACCCCCTGGTTTTAAATGCCCCAAGTTGAAAACATCCAAAAATGTTTTAGTGAAAGTCCTTGTAAAATATCTTAGCTATTTCCTGGATAAATAATCGTGCTTGGTGACTGAGGCTTTAATTATGTTACGTCCAAGGAACGCTATGAAAAGCAACTCACAGTGGAAAGTAGCTGGATGCTGAAACAGAAAAATCTACGTTCAAATTCCGGCTGGTTACCTAACTCATCCAACCTCGGTTTTCAACTCTGAAAATGGGAAGGGCAACAGCTCCCTCTGCATTAACTTCATTTTCTTATTTTCTGTATTCTTCACACACTGGCACCTGGGGCCTTGCTGACTGAAGAGAGGCTGCCTCTCCCACAGCTTTCCGGTCCTTAAGCGACAGCAAGGAACAAACCTGTTTGTCTATGACAACCTGACCAATCCAGAGTTAGTACTCCAAGCCACCTCCTCTCTCGGGCTGTTACTCTGCAGGAGACAATACTGCCCTGCCTTCACCACTCCACGGAAAGGTGAAGACAACCCAGGGACTGCAGACATTATTCAAACTGGCTCCCCCTAAATCTGGTCACCCTGCCTGGTGCTTCCCACGTGGTCCTGCATGGCGCGGTGGGCCCCTCCCCTCAGACACCGTGAGGAACAAACTTCCTTTTCGATGATACCTTATCAGCTCCCGATCGCCTGGCTTCAACATGCCTGAGCAGTTCAGTCATAAAACCTACATTTTAAAACCTCTCAACAGAATTTTTAGGAAGGATAAATACAAAGTACTTTTTGACCACAATAATCCCCTCTTCAAAATCAAAGATTTAAATGTTAGGGGAATTAAATTAAAATTAAATTAAAATGCCAATGGAAAAGGAAAACCTGGGTCAATATCGTGTAAATGTATAGGGAACAAACTAAAGCCAGAAGTCATAAATGAAAAGCATGGCTTTTAAATAAATAGGAAAATCAGAAATCATAAAAATACTGCTTTAAAAATATAAAACTTCAGTTTGATAAAAACAAAACAGGGTTGTAAGATATAAACTGAAAACGTGGAAAAAAACCTTTGCAACTCATGATAGAAAAAAGATTAACATCTACAGAGGCAGGAAACAGATTAGTGGGTGTTTCAGGTATTGGCAATTTCACTTTTATTACTGTAAAACCGCAGGAAGTCTCTTCAACTCAACTAAAAGCAACTACTTCCCTAAAACTGGTGTATCTACTGTTACAGTGTTGGTGAAAAGAGTTTGGATCACTAAAGTTCACCGTATCTTGTTTACTATCCATTTATATACAAATAAACATAAACATATGAAGGTAAATCATAGCGGATCTACTTTCTGATCCATTATAAATTCCATCTAGTAAAACTGAAATGAAGTGTATCTATTTATAATAAAGAATGAAGGAATTCTTTACGAATATAGCATCTTAAAAAGTCTTAAATATATGGTTTAAGATAGAAAAAAGACTTACCGTCCAAAATTTTATAAAGTACTGTAAAACTGTTGTAGCCACAAAAAGGCAATATAACAAGGAATACAATAAAAACAGCAGGAAGAATTTGTAATTAGAAAATCCCACACAGTTATTCACCCTAGAAGAATACAAAAAGTCACACTGTAAAAATATGACAAACCACAAACTCACAGAGACAAAACACAGAATGGTGTTTTCCAGGGGCTGCATGGGGCAGGGATGGGCACAGAACCTTAGCTGTGCAGGATGAGAAGCTCTGGACGCTGGGCGCACAACAATGCGAACGTACTTTGTACCTACTGAAGTGTACACGTAGAAATGGTTAAGGTGGTAAATTTTACGTCATTTTTTAAACCATAATAAAAACAACAATAACACATACGACAGATAAAAAACTTAATCATTATTACTTGGAAATGAGCCATTTGGGAAGTAGGAGAAGCAGTGTCTTCATTGTGGATGTGTGTTTTTAATAAATTCTATGAGGAATTTGGATTTTATTTTATTTTATTTTATTGTATTTTATTTTATTGTATTTTATTTTATTATTTCTGAGAGAGAGTGAGTGAGAGGAAGACAGAAAGGACACAGGGAGAGGGAGAAAGAATCTTAAGCAGTCTCCAAGCTCAGTATGGGGCCCAACACGGGCCTTGATCTCACGACTGTGAGATCATGACCTGAGCCGAAATCAACAGTTCAGACACTTAAATGCCTGAGCTACACAGGTGTCTCAAGCAATTTGGAATTTTGATGTTTAATTCTTTTTTTTTTTAACTTAATGTATTTATTCTGAGAGAGAGAGAGAACGAGCAGGGGAGGGGCAGAGAGAGAGGGAGAGAAGAATCCCAAGCAGGGTCTGTGCTGTCAGTGTGGAGCCCGGGGGGGGGGGGGGGGCGGCGGGGGGGGTTTGATCCCACGAACCGCGAGATCATGCTCTGAGCTGGGATCAAGACTGGACACTTAACTGACAGCCGCTCAGGTGCCCCAATGTCAATTCTTATTATGTACTTACTTGGGTTAATACATCAGCTTTATAGTTAAAGGAATACATTTAATATAAACAACTACATACATATATATGCATATAAATGACTACATCAATCTTGATATCTAGGAGTAATTACACTGACCTTCAAAATTTAAAAATGCTGAGGTAAATTACTCTCAATTCTCTCCTTCCCACCTCTCCACCCCCAATGAGATTTCCTCTATTTTTTATACATACCAAGGACAGTGATGATCCATCTTAAGAATACATCTAAAAAACAAATAAGCATAAGAAAATCCTTATAAACTTTCCCCTAATTCTAATTGCTCATAATTTTCTTCTTTTTGGCTTAAATTTTTACCTTTACAAGTAACATCTTAGAAGAACCAACCCAGTGAACATTAGGTTCGAAAATATTTCTGATATTTCGCCAAGTACTTTTACAGGTAAGAAACAATGATTTTTAATACTGGGAATTCAGTTGTGCACAGTCAACTGCTTTGAACCACATCAAATGATATTTTAATATACTGATATGGTACACGTAACACTAGGTCACTTAGACGGGCCCAGCTTACAAATTAGCTGAGGGAGATAAAATGAAACACAGAAATCCCTAGGCTGTTTTAACCACATGCAAGACATAAAAATAAAACCACAGGAGCAAATATGTTAAAATATTACCAACGATGGGCTTGTAGATGGTTATTTTTTCCACACAACTCACAAAATTGGATTCCATAGATGAGCACGACTATGCTTTTATAATTAAAAAAACCCCTCCAAATCTGCCTCCCCGCCAATACACATAATCCAGATTTGTATGAAGTCAGACCAGAGAACATCTCAAATACAGCCGTCTCCCCTAGCTAGAGTTGCTTCTCCCCGTCTCAGCTCCCAGCAGTCACCCACGGTCTGGAAGCAGATGATCCTCCCTCTGACGCACCCAGAAGGTCAGCGGCAGCCAGACGCTGCGTCACAGGGTCTATGTCACCCACCTCCCCTCATCTCTTCCCAGTTGGGGTAGGTACACGGTAAGACATTTTTAGAGAGTCCACATTCACATACACTTATTACAGCCTATTGTCACAACTATTGTTTTATTATTAGCTACTGTTGTTAATTTCTTACCATGCATAATTTAGGAGTTAAATTTTTTCATATAGTTATGTACGTATAGGAGAAAACATAGTATATATAGTTTCAGGCATTCACTGGGGATCTTGGGACATATCCTCAGACAGATAAGAGGGGACTGCTGTAACATAAGAAATGAATAAACTAATACCCAGAATGTTAAACAACCTAACTACAGTTCAAGGACTAGCAGAGATTCCTAAACTATAGATCTTTCCTTCAACACACTATCTTCTCAAAAGTGCACATAAAATAAAATCTTTCAAATTTTTCTGGGAACGATGTCACAGACAGTAACTGAAAACAGTATGTTTGTGGTTTGTTATGTTTTAGTATTAACAAGATAAACAAGAATGTTGTCATGATAGTCTTTTTAATCCGCGAGCTAAAGTTATCTTTCTCAAAGGGGTTATTACTTGCTCATCAATGTTACATTAGGCGTAAGCATAGGAAGTACATTTAAAAAACATTCTATCAACTAGTATAGGAAGCGAGATTACTTCAAAGTATATTCTAGCTTATATAAATATTTTTGTTAGCCCAGCATACATAGCAAGTAATTGCAGAGGATGAAGCGTTTTTGCTAGGCATAAAGCATACAAAATATTCCATCCCCTACTATTCTCCTGTCACCAATGTGCAGTGCTAGGGTTAAATGAAAACAAATGAGTCATACTTACATGTCACATGCTGAGCAGTGATGTGCCCGGTCAGGTTTAATCAACTGACATCTTTCACAATATCTGATGGCTACATTTAAGAATTAAAAGGAAACTGTTGAAGGATGTACAAGCTGAATTTGACTATAACATTTGCTTTCATTCTTTTACAAATAACTGTGAAACTGGCAACTAATTTAAAAAAAATTTAATGTTTACTTATTTTGAGAGAGAGAGAGAGAGAGAGAGAGAGAGAGAGAGAGAGAGAGCAAGCCAGGGAGGGGCAGAGAGAGAGGGAGAGAGAAATCCCAAGCAGGCTCCGCCCAATGCAGAGCTCACAAACCATGAGATCATGACCTGAGCTGAAACCAAGAGTCGGATGGATGCTCAACCGACTGAACCACCCAGGTGCTCCTCAAAAAGTACTTTTTAAAACCATGATTATGGATGAATAACAACATCATCATCATAGTTAGATGCTCACTGTTCTCTGCGTGACGGCCTCTAAAGCAAACAGATTGTACCGACTTGGCAACAAGGCCAATGGTCTCTCGCAAACTGTTGAAACTTTTACAGATTAGAGCAATTAAATGGTAAATACTCTACTTGATATTCTAAGTGTAGTGGGCTTCTTTGGGGCGTATCTGCCTGGTCGAAAAGCCACTCTCTCCTCCTCTGGGGAACAAGTTCAGACCACCCTTCCCCCTTCTAGTTCGTGCTCTGTCTCCCGCGGATGCACCACAGAGCCGGAGCGCTGGAGCTGGGAAACACGCGACGGTGATAGTCTGCCATGTGACTTGGGAAAAAAATGAAAACTCATTTGGAGGCAGACAGTGTTACAAATCAAACAGATCTACAGGGACAAGAAGAAACAAGCTCCACACAGTCCCAGCTTTGGCTCTCCAATTCTGGTTCCAGTTCTGTCTTGCAGTCCTGCCCTTAAGATACTGGAAATACCCACCAATTCCTGACACCATTTCATATTTTTCGGTAGTTTTTTGGGGTGAGAGTTAAAAAGCCTAAGTTGCTGCCTATTACTTGTGATCCTATTTGTTTGAGCCTATTTTCTGTACTATTACTGTTTGTTTCCTAGCACAGAAAATAGGTTCAAATAAAAATTTAAATTAACGATACCCTCTAAAAATTGCACGGACGATGTCATGTGTTACAATCTTTTTGGAAGGAAATTTGGGAGCATCTATAAAAACTTAAGATGTATATGTTCTCTGACCCAGGATTTCTACTTCTAGAAAATTCTACAGACATGTTCACTATAGCATTGTTTTTGACAATAAAATATTATGAATTACTTAAATTATGTAAATGGCTAGGCATTTTCTATCTATCCATACAGTGGAATACTATGCAGACTTTAACGAGAATTTTCCATACAAAATACACACATACCCTAAACTGGAAAAATGCAAATATATCAGATGAAAAAAAGCAAACTGTAGAAGTTTGAATATACAGCATGTTTCACATCTCTAAGGGAAATAAGTGTATTCTTTTCTCTTCACATATCCCAATAAAATATATCCACCTTATAGAGGTGAATTAACATGTAAGAGAGACAAAGTGCTATTCTGAAGCTTTGAAGCAATGTTATACTTGCTAAAAGGCACTATCCAGGTAACTAAATCTGTATTGGTTAATACCTATCCACTCTAGTTGTTGAAATATATTAATTGCATGTAAGTTTTGTAATACTCTGCCAAGTATGAAAATTTTCTGCAAGGATGTAACAGGGTCCCCCCGGAGAACACTGCCAGGGTGAAGGGCTGCCTCACTTTTCATTTGGTGCCCTAAAAATTTTTTTTTAAATCATGTGCATGTATTACTTTTGTAATTTCAACAAAAACGTCTTTAAAATGAAGGGGATGTAGGTAAATACCCGCTCCTTAAATGAGTAAGCCATACTACACTGAGGGCCTTCTAGAGGGCCTTAACCCCATCCCCGGGGTTGGACACTAGGGAGGTAAAACCAGACAATGTAGAAAAAGTAAAGCTTTAGGACCGTAGGAATGTGGTAGCTGATCTCTCCATTCAACAGATGAAAAACACCCCAAAGTCGAGAGGAAGTAATCTGCCCAAAGGCTAAACACAGCTGAACTGGCGGTTAAGTAAGATGAGGGTCAAGAGTATCTTAGTTTCTTTTTCCTCTATTCTTCTACTCAAAATTCTGAGATGGTGATTTTGCCCTGAGAGGAGACTAAACTGAACAGACTTTTTTTTTTTTCAGTTTTTATTTATGTGTTTTGAGACAGAGACACAGTGTGAGTGGGGGAAGGGCAGAGAGAGAGGACCCCAAGCAGGCTCCGTGCTGTCAGCACAGAGCCCCGTGCGGGGCCCGAACTCACAAAACCGTGAGATCATGACCCGAGCTGCCACGGAGAGTCAGACGCTTAACCGACCGAGCCAGCCAGGCGCCCCTGAACAGACGTTTGAAGAAGACTTGTGGTGGATCTTGAGGACTGAGCGGATAGAGGAACCGAGGAAAAGGAAGCAATCAGAAAACTTCAGTTTCTGGTCTAGGGCACCTAGATGAGCGAGGCGGCAAACCACCGAAGGGAGCCCAGGTGAGGGCGGGCCGGGCGGGTAGCCTGGGGTAGGTGTTTTCATGGATTCATTCTCTCACCCATTCAGGCAGCAAGTACTGTATTCAGAGAGTTTCTGCCATGTGGCAAATACTGCTTGACGGCATTAAAGTCTGAACTGATGTGCCCAGTTCTGTTTGGGTTTGTAGGTTTGGATAATAGGTGGCTCCAGGACAGCTGTCCTGGGGGAGGCCTGGGAAGACGATGGAGGAGCACGACCCCGAGCTCACCTCATCCCACGGACACCCACAGATCACAGACACATCGGTGCAAGAAACCCAGAACAGGAACCAAGCGGGAGATGCTGAACTGGGCGGCGCAGGCCAAGGAGAGTGGGAAGCCTTAAATGATGGATCCCGGGCCCCCAGGGGGAGAGGGCTGCACCTTCTTCCCTTGCATCCCCGGGGAGGACGCTGCAGCCCTGGGGCAGGGAGGTGGGAGGCCTCCAGGCAGACAAGCAATCCTCGTGTGTAGCTGCAACCCCGCCCGTGTACCTGACGTACAAGAAAGGGTCTGGGATACAGGTGAGTGCTGGTGTGACAGTGTCCTTGAATCTGCTCTAATTCATATGAGGAAAGTGAACTCCTTGAAAACTATTAAAGAAAACAAATTGAGACACAATAAACGAATGATCACAATCTCACCGTGTCAGAATTCCATAACTGAAAACAAAAGTTGAAGGAACAGTACAAAACGAATTGGGGCAGGGCACCCTCGTGAAGTGAAGAAATAGAAAAATAAGGGGCGCTTGGGTGGCTCAGTTGGCTGAGCATCTGACTCCTGAATTTGGCTCTGGTCATGATCCCAGGGTCGTGGGATCAAACCTTGTATGGGACTCTGCACTGAGAAGGGAGCCTGCTTAAGATACCCATTCTCTCTCTCTCCAAAAAGAAAAAAAAAAGAAAAAAATTAAATTAAATTAAAAAAAAAGAAAGAAATTCAGGAGGATGAATCATCATTCAAGGATGCAGAACAGAACTATACTAGAAAAGCCAAAAGAAGAAAGCTTCTCAAGAAGTCAGAGGGCAAAAGCCACTGAGCTCAAGTAGGGAGAACGGAGGCCAGCTGTCTGGAATCACGTGGGAAGGAACACAGGCCCTGGGTACAGACAGCTTACCAGAGGATCTAACTCAAAATATAATAGTGGTTAGAATACCAACAGAACCAAATTTTTGTTGTGACTGTTGTTTTAAGTTTATTTATTTTGAGAGAGAGAGAGAGAGAGAGAGAGTGTATGTAAGTGGGGGAGGGGCAGAGAGAGGGGCGGGGAGCAGGGAGCGGGGAGCGAATCCCAAGCAGCCTCCTTGCTGTCAGCACAGAGCCTGATGGGGGGCTTGAACCCACGGACTGTGAGACCGGGACCTGAGCCGACGTCAACAGCTGGATGCTTAACTGACTGAGCCACCCAGGTGCCCTGAAATTTTTGTTGTTGTTTTTAAGAGAGACATACTTTGACGCATACCTGAAAGCAGAAGGAAGAAGTTGGTTGTAATTTATTAAGTGGAGAAGCAAGAGTTTTAGGAGAAAACTGGGGGAGAAGACAGGAAAAAGGGCAGCAATCTCCATGCAAATATACGAAAGGACGAGGGGTGCCTGCGTGGCTCAGCTGGTTAAATGTCTGGCTCTTGATTTCAACTCAGGTCATGATCTCACGGTTCATGAGGTCAAGCTCCACGTCAGGCCCTGTGCTGACAGCGCAAAGCCTACTTGGGATTCTTTCTCTCCGTCTCTGCCCCTCTACCGCCCTCTTCTCTCTCGAAATAAATAAAATCAACATTAAGAAAAAAAAAGGAGAGGAACACAGACACCAAGAGGAAACTGACAAGCTCTGGAAAAGCCAGCCTGTAAGGGTGTGGTGACAGTGCACTGTGCTGGGAGCAGCAGGGACTCTGTCACCAGTCAGGTGAGATGCCAGTTCTCCCGCCAACCGCGTCAGTTACTGGGTCAGTAACTCACTTTCCACGAGCCTCAGTTTCCTCCTGTGTGAGTGCAAATAATACCACGTGTAAGGGACTGCCGTACAGATTAAATACAAAATCTTCTAGAACATACCAGATTCTCAATAAAGCGGGTGTTATTCATAGGATAATAAAAATTATTTCTGGTAAATATATGATTACAATTCCTGATAAAATGGAAATTCGGACTATGATGGGAAAAATCACGGAGAGAAGGCTAGTTAGATGCGCAAGTCAAGTGCACAAACGGTGCGACACTAGAACTGGGATGACACAGAGAAGGTCGGCAAGGCCCCCGCACGAGAGTGACGTGCAGGGAGCGCAGGAGCGGCTCCGGAGGAGGGACAGATTCATTCAACAAACACCTACCGAGGGCCTATTAATGAGGGTCCCTTCGTTAGGGACCATGGGAGAAACTCCTGACTGCCAGACTCTTAGAATCAGGTCGAGGGGGTGAGATAAACAGAAATGACTATGAGGCTGTGATTTGTGATCGACAAGGTAAGAATTTGAGAAGTTCCAAGCACTTTTAAAAATTACTTCTTGTTCAAGTGAATAGAAATGGGTGAAAAGTAGACATTACAACTTAAACTGGATTTAAAGAGGAAAAAAATAATCATTCTAGGCAGAGGAAAAGACATTTCAAAAAGGTGGGGAAAGACAGAGTGCTTCAGCACAGAGTTGATACAGGGAAACAGTGTGGGACAAAGGGAGAGAGCCATTGGTTGGATCCACCCTGTGGAGACTAAATTTTGTTTGTTTGACGAATAGATAATGATATGTCCACATGGTTCAAAGAGACCAAAGAGGAAGTGAGTGAAAAGCTTCCCTTCTGGGAAGGATCCGGAGATCCTTCCTGTGGAGGCCGCTCTGTCACTTTCATTCGTCTGTGGTCTATGGAAGGTCCACTTCCTATAATACGTGTTTCTGTAATTTTGTTTTTTAAAGAATGAATAGATTTGACTTCTACAACAAGAAAAAAGAATAAAAGTCCCCAAAGTTTGGAATTCTAAGCAGCAGAAGTGCAGTATAAAACAGTGTTCCAGAGCTGGGACTCTGCCTGTCGTCAGAAGGTAAGAAGCTGTAAATCTCAGACCTTATCACTCGGGGACTTTGGACCCCTCATCGTGCCTCCTGTCCTCATCTCTAAAATGAGGACAAGTGCATCACCTACCTCAGAGTTGTCCCGAGGATTAAATAATCACCAGCAAAGTGTGTAAGACTGAATAGATGAAGGATATTATTCAGATTAGAGGAAAGTCATTATAATTAATGAAAAATAATAAAGCTTAAAGTGTAAAGATTTTACATCAGCGGCTATTAACTCTTCAGGACACATGTACTGCTCTGAAAATCAGATGATCTTGCTATGAATGGGCTACTCTGAAAGCTACACGTACCCACAACTTTGCATATTATCTCAGGATTCATAAATTCTTCAAAATCTTGGATTTTAGGTTAAGAACATCTAATCTACAGAACTAGAAGCGCAAATAATTATTATAAACCACACTTTTCATGATTGAATAGAAAAAGGATTATTCTATATTAGCTATCATTTACTGAAAATTTATAATTATATACCAAGATCTACACTAAATGCACATCTCATTTACGTATCTCACTTAATATTTCCACTAACCCAAAGACGTAGATATGTTTAGCCTTGTTTTAAAATAAGGACACAAGCACTTACAAAGCTAGTGACTCTCGCTACACTAGTAATAGAAAAGCTGGGGTCTGATCTGATATTCACATTTTCGTTATGTATGGCAATGTATTAGTCATGCAAAATGAATAGTATTAAGCGCACGAAAAATTTAAAAATCAAATACCCCCGCCTAAAATCTGGCACAAACTTTGTACTTCCTTAGTCACAACTTGTATGTGACTATACGAAAGTAAAGTTCTTTTTGCTTCCCCGCAGAGTTCAGCAGCATAGTGGGTTCTAGGGCCACAGCACCTCGATTTTATGCCAATTTTTCACATAGACCCTGTCTGACCTTGAACAAGTTATCAACCTCTCTGTGTCTCAGTCTCCTCGCCTGTGAAATGAAGACAACAGTGTCTACGGCACAGGGCTGTTGTGAAGTTTAAATGAGTGTGTGTAAAGCACTCAGAACTGAGTAACTGTCGGCCATTACAGTATCTGCTATTTGAATAAACTCAGGAGGTTCGTAATACATAACGTAAAACAATTTCCTATACTGAAGTGACCACACTGGTCACTCAGAAATTCATCCCTATCGCAAGACTCTCACCTGAGAAAAGGAAGGTGCTGGAGGAGCACCCACCTCAGTGCAGGAAGTGGGACAGCGGAAATACCTGTGGCTTTGGAACCAGACTAACCTGAGTTCAAATTCTGGCTCTCTGAATAGTAGTTTTAAAAACTGAACAGAGAGTACCCGGGTGGCTCAGTCGGTTGAGCGTCCAACTTTGGCTCAGGTCGAACTCATAGTGAGTTTGAGCCCCACCCTGGGTTCACTGCTGTCAGCGCAGAACCCACTTCGGATCCTCTTTCTCGCTCTCTACCCCTCCCCCAGCCTCAAAAATAAACAAACATTAAAAAAAAAAAACTGGAACAGGCTTCCTGCCCTTTGTGTCTTTTATTCCTATCCATTCTAAGTTCGTGCATTCTTGATTAAAAAAAAAATTACTCTTGTGATGACACACGATATTCAAATTCAAACCAGAATTTCCAAAAGATGGTTCACTAAGAATAACAAATGAAATTTTTAGCCATGATGTTGAGTTGGAAAATAAATGCAGAGACTCATAGTGAGCCCCTTAAAAAATCAATTATCAGGGCACCTGGGTGGCTCAGTCGGTTGAGCGTCTGACTTCAACTCAGGTCATGATGTCACACTCCGTGAGTTCAAGCCCCGCTCGGGCTCTGTGCTGACAGCTCGGAGCCTGGAGCCTGCTTCAGATTCTGTGTCTCCCTCTCTCTGACCCTCCCCCATTCATGTTCTGTCTTTCTCGGTCTCAAAAATAAATAAAAATTAAAAAAAAAATCAGTTATCAACATATGTACATATATGGACATATCTCTGAAATACCACAGAAGATACAGAACACGGGAAAATCTTGTTCTTGAAGACATTATCTGCAGCAATTACAATATCCATTTAATAGTCAAATCACGCAGACATATCTTGGCAGGGTTAATTATATTTTAAAACTTCTACGGAAAGGAAAACTTAAGACTGGTTTTTCTTACTCCTTGAAGCTGATGTGGTGTAGATAGGTAAGTCCCTTGCCGCTCTTCTCAAAATTTCTTGTTGTCTTTCTTGGCTGAACTCCTTTTCGTAACGTTCCTTTTCAGAATTGGACAAACAGAACTATAAAAGGAGAAATAACTATTAATTCTTTTTAATCCCATGATCATGAACTATCACACTCAGAAAAAGGAAGTTTTATCCAGAACAAACAAAAAACATTTTCTTCCGTGAAGAAAAGGCAAAATTTGTTTTCAGATTTAAGAGGCTAAATCAAGAACATTTTAACAAAACTACATACCTTTGACATTAAAAAATATCTGCCCTCTATTCTAATGATGGGAAAGAATACGAACTAGAAAATTGTGTATCTTTGCTTTCTACAGACAAAACTAAATACCTCCCAACCAAAAAGGGTTAAGTATACACTTTCTACTAGAAAAACTCTGGTGTTTGAAAATTAGTGTCAAGAAATTTTTAATTTTTGGAAGGATGCCCAAAGATTCACTTGCTTTGGGTAACAGGTTAAATCGCGGGCATGGGGTCCAACTATTTTCCGGCCAAATATCTCAGTGAGGACAACCCATTCTTTTACTACTTTGTTTTAGCTTTGTAAAAGCTAACCAACAGGAGTACTTTCTGCAAAATGACTAAGGATTGTTAAGGCAGGCATAGTCTCCTCTTCTCCAAGAGCGATTCCTTTACGGAGTTATTTCCAGTTTCCATCTCTCACGTCTTTAATCCCACGCGTGGCCAGCTTGCAGTTCGTTTCCTTGAACAGCGCCTTCCCCACAAAGGACTGTCCAGGCTGCTCTTCTTGTCAGGTCGTGGTCATCCCAGCATCTCAAGGACCCTGAGTCTTATGCCTCTATAATTTCAGGCAGATAGATGCTTTCAGTTTCTCTCTCTTTACTTCACAGAATTTCTTTTTCAACCAAAAATGGCTTGAGACTTGCTCTGTTTCTCAATTTTTACTTACAGGGTTTTGCTTGAATGGAGTTTCATCTCTTTCCGTTCAAGTGTTTTGAGCCACCTGCTAACTCACTACTAAACTTTCATACTCCTGGTGCCCCACCATCAATAATAACAGTATCAGCTTAGCAGTGCAGTCTCTCCTATTACAAACAAGGCAACAGTTTGGCATGTCTGAAGGAGCTCTGGGTTGAGGAACTTTCTAAGACTGCGCATCCACTGACAGAGCTGACATTAAGATACAAGTCTTTTGAGTTTTACTCCAGCATGCGTCCCTCCACACTGCTAACATAAAATAAATGTTCTTGACTTTTGCAGACTATTACTCTAACCTGACCAGACAGCACAGTTCAGGATGTGGAAGTCTATTTAGATTACCTCACCTGGTTCTCACGCTCAAATCTTGATGGCACAAGAAATCCCCAGATGATTTGCAAGGAGTAATACAGACAAATAAAAAGGACAGAAAGCAGTCAGAAAAGATTCCCATAATCTTAACCTGAGACTGTGGAGGTCACTTATCTAACCTCCCGGGCAGGTAGGAATCTTCAGACGACGTTTCTGAGATCCAGTCCCTCTTGAATCAGATAATAAAGTACTTCCCTGCTTTGCAAAATGGCCCATTCTCTTTTAAGAGAATTATAACTTGTAACTTGTTTGAATTAAACGTTCTTTCCTGACATGATGTGCCCCTGTCGCATTCACAGTAAAGTATAAGAACCATATGGTATGATGATAAATATGTGTTTGGAAAGGAGACATTCCTCGTAAAACATGAACAGATTTCCCTGGACCGTCCTATTTGTAGCCAGGCCTCAACAGCATCACTCTGCCTTAAGGACTACTGTCACAAACTATGAAAAACTTAAACGAAATGAAAATCTCACGAGACACCAGAATTTTAGGTGAGGAATGGAACCAAAAAAATGTTAATGGGTTCGAGTTCTGAAATTATTATTATGATTCTGGTTTTCATTAAAAGCTATGACTATCATTCAAACTATAAAACGCCAGTATCTTAAATTCAGTGTTCAGATGGTTCCATTTAAATACACATTAAATACCAGTTAAGAACCTGGCACTGTTCCAGGTAACAGGAATCCACAGATGAGTAACAACGTGGCCCTTGCCTCCAAAGTCCGTTTCTACAGTCCAGTCAGAAGGTCAGCCATGCCAACAGAGAAGTACAAATTACAAATCAGCCTAAGTGCCAGGTACCATAAAAGCTCCCTTAGGAGGGAGCGGGAACTGCCAATGAAAGTGTCTTGGAGGAAGTGGGGTCCGGGCTGGGTTCTGAGAGATAAACAGGAATCTTGCGGGAAAACAAGGAGGGGAAGAGAATCTCGGTAACAGGCGCAGCATGCAGAAAGCACGAAGACGTGACCCCAGCAAGGTACAGTCAGCGCGAGATAGGACTTGGCTGTCGAGGGCCAGGAAGAAGCAGTGGAGATGACGCTGCTAAGATGTTAGGTCACAAAGGGTCTCGTGCACCGTGCAAAGGAGCACGGCTTGCACCGTGTAGCTGTCACGGAGGGTCTCGTGCACCGTGCA